ACTATCCAGGCTTTTCAGACACAATGCCTATATCTAATTTTTTAATTCCCTGAGTTTCGTAATTAAGTTTTTACTTCATCAGATGCATCTCGCGAGTTTCTACCTGAAGTAGGAAGGACTGAGAAAAGTTGGGTGCTACACTCAGCCATGCCCCAGTCTCAACTGGAAATCACAGTAAAACAGTTCCCAGACCCTCCCAACTGCTCAGGTAAACATGAGCACATCTTTGGATTTCATTTACAGCATAAGACAGCTTTCTGTGCTGTGGAGAAATTGTGAGATTGAATTTGTCCTTGGACAGCATCTGTGATTCTGCAGAGGTCCCTGAAGTGTGGTGTTATTGCTAAGCTGTACCGGTGAAGAGAGCCAACTACAGAGCTATGTAAACTAAGAAATGAGTGAGAAAAAATGCTTTGATATTGCTTAGTGTTCACTTTTCCAGCCCTTTGCTCCACATTACCTGACATCAGCCACACCTGAGTCATTGCTGTCTGAACCCTCCCGGTGCTGGTGTGCAAATAAACAAAAGGGAGAGTGCATTTAATAATGTGACAATGCCTTTTTATTCTCCATGATGGATTGTAAGTCCCTCTTACTGCCTCATGAGGTACAATTTTAAATGTGCAGTGCTGGAAAGTTTGTCTTGACTTTGCGGTACATGTTTGTAGTAGGAGTCAGCTGATGGATTCCTGCCTGTGTGAGTCTCAGAGTGGTGAAATTCTTGACCCTCAGGCTTCCCAAGCAGAGCTTCCAAGTCAGAATAAAGCAGACATCTGGGCTGATTTGATTCAGGGGAGTAAAAACCAGATAGTAGAGTATCTGTGCAACAGGATGGAGTACAAAAAGGGATTATTTTCCTTTTTGAGAGAACTTCTATAACTGTGTCATAATCTGTTTTTGATGGTTGACCTCAAGCTGACCATTGATCATAGCAGAGAGGTGGCACAGGACTGCCTTTGTAAGGGTAAATATCAAAGAGAAGAACCTCAAAGAACCTTAGCAGTGTGGTAACCCCCTACTTTCTAACAAACTATTTTGCAGTCAGTTCATTACTCCTTCTGCAGCAAAAGGAAGAAAGCCAAGCATAGCCTGATGGGTTCCTGGCTACAATCCCAGGGAGGGGCTGGCTGGTCATGAGGAGATGGCTCACCTTTTGTGGTTTCAGTGGATCCCATGACAAGGTAAACCCATCCTCCCAAGGGTCTTCTTGCCTTTGCAAACCATCTCTACTCCTGGAATAGTAGTGACCTCATCACTCTCTTAAACTACCTGAAGGGAGGTTATAGCCAGGTGGGGGTTGGTCTCTTCTCCCAGGCAACCAACAACAGGAGAAGGGGACATGGGCTCAAGCTCTGCCAGGGGAGGTTTAGTTTAGATGTTAGGAAGAAATTCTTTACAGAGAGGGTAATCAGATACTGGAACGGCCTACCCAGAGAGGTGGTGGATTCACCATCCCTGGAGGTTTTTAAAAAGAGATTGGATGTGACCCTTAGTGCCATGATATAGTAATTGGAGTTGGATCAGAGGTTGGACTTGATGATCTTGGAGGTCTTTTCCAACCCAATCTATTCTATGATTCTATGATTTTATGATACTGAGGGATGGGGTAGCAATGAGAGATGGTCCATGTCACATCTCTGGAATTTCCTGCTGTGTAACTTGAGAAAAGAGGCTAGAGTTCTGCAGGGATTTCCTAAAGCCTAAGTGGTTAATTTTGTCTGGTTTTGAGTCTTGCAATATTCTTAATGCTCAAATATCCTGGACAAGAGAAAACCTTAGCTGAGTCTAGGCAAACGCATGAACATTCTTGATTTTTTTACCGGTACAACTGACCCCCTTGTCTCCTTTCTGTGCCTATAATGGTTTTCATGTTGGTATTTGAATAAGGCATTCAAATAAAGCAAGTTCTTATAAGAATCAGCAGTAATAAATGTGAGACCATCGTGAAAATCTGCTTGGGTTTACAGCATGGACAGATCATTTTAATTTGCTTTGTCTAAAGCATGAGACCAAGGGCAAAGGCTTCTCAGCTACCCCTATTATTTTATGCCCATATTATAGTAAGGTTCAGGCCCATCTGTCAATTTACTTCATGCATGTAAGTGTGCACAATCTTAGGACATGGGAAGTTAAGAAATTACTGACCAGTTTTAAGTTACAAAAGATGTCAGTAGGCACCTTCAGGGATTTACAAAAAAAAAGCTTAAAAGTGATAGAGGTGCTCTTGAGTGAGATGCAGGTACTTCTGAAAGTTTGTTTCCTGTGATTTCCATCCCAATTGTTGTACAGTTATGAACACTTCTTCAACTTTGAAAGGGCTTCATTTACAGATGTTTATAGTTGAAGTGTTAGGGCAGTAGATGATACAGCAGTATTCGAAGCCTTGAATTTAAACAAGAGAGATGAACAGGCATTAAACTCTAGGTGTGTAGGAGGAGGTTCCACTGGTTTGAATAGATGAAAACTTGGATGCAAGCACACGTTGAAGTGAGTCTCTGACTCAGAACTATCACAATAATGTGATAGCTCAAAATTAGGAAAGTTGTCCCAGTGCTTTGGAATGGGTAGACTAAAAATGAAATTAAACTAAAAAGGCCTTATTTGAACTAAGTAATAGAAAGTGAAAGCAACAACTATATTCTGAGAGCTGGAATGGCATCAGCTGCATTCTGACTAGAACTAGGTGAGGACAGCTGGAAGTGCAGCCTGTCAAGACAACTGGCCAAAGGCTGGCTGGTTAGTCACTGAGTGCCAGATGGACACCACCAACTGTCTAAATGATTTCTTCCTCATTTGTAATTGGCATCAGTTGTGCCTGATCTCCCTGGATCTGCCTGCAGTTCTCAGGTCTGTTGTTGACATCCTTGGTGTACATCCTGCAGCCAGCATGCAAGCTCCTGTCAGCATGACAGTCCCTGAAAGAGCTGTGGGTTTTTTGGTCATGCCCTACTCTAACAAATTTTGCCTCATTGGCAGTGTGAAACACTCACAGCACCATTTCATTCCACTCTCCTTTACTTTTTCCCAGTTTTTTTTGTCTTCTCATATTCATGTCAGCTGTTGTGATCAGTCACGAAGGGGCATTTTGTGATGTTGGTAGAGGACCTCTGATATTTGCCATCTTACACTAAATTAACACTGGTAAGTAGGACCAGTCTAAAGACGCAGCCTTGTGACCAAACCGGCTTGTGCCTTTAAGGTTCTCTGGCTTCTTCCCCATGATCGAAACCCACAATGAGTGATCTTGTGGCTGTAGGGCTGCTCTGGTCTCTGCTCACTGCCCCACTGTGTGCCTCCTCCTATATGTTTGGGACTTGTAGCATGAAGATCAAAAAAATCCTCTTGTGGAAAGTCCTCCCACATTTTCTTGTTTCCACCTTATTCACTGGCATGTCCTCCTTGGGAAGTACCAAAGTCTCGAGGTAAAGCAGCCCTTCAAAAATTCAACTGCTGTGAAAGGAGGAAATGACTTTATGTTGAGCTCCAGATATTCTGCATGGATTGACTTGTAGAATGCATGAACCACAATTTAGATGGTGAAACATAAGCTGCCTGATTCAGGCTACTTTTGGATGCCTTGAAGTTGGAACAAAAAAACGACAGGAACATGTGCTTGTCTTGGAAAGGCTGGTTGTGCAACAACCATGGATATGAAGGCTTAGCCAAGGAGGTGGTTGCTGTCCCACACACAATGCTCAGTGGGTGCTCTGGTGTTACAGAGGATGGCTCCTGCCTGGGACTGCAGAACAGCTCTCACCATCATTTTTTCACAGCATTATTTCTGCCTATGACTGTTTCAGGTGGGTGTCATTCAGGCAGAAAGCAGAAACTGTTTTCAGAAGTACCAGACAAACTGCCTTGCCACTTTTTTCTTGGTGTTGCAGTCTGCTGGGAAAGAAAGCAGAGGGGTGTTACAGCTTTTGAACAGTACACTTGCAAATGTGACGAGTTCCTCAGTAGAAAGGATTTCAGTAGAAAAAAGATGCAAGACAAAGGAGGGGAATGGTTTCCTCCAACAGCACACCAGCAAGAGCTGGGTAGAGCTATGTTCAGTTTATTATTCCATGCACATGACATAGGTAAAGGTGGATGGATTATCCTCATCCAGAAATTCAAGTCTATCTGTTGTAGCCTGTCCAACTAACCTGTCAGCCAAGGACCAGCAGATGACACGGTGTATCCTGCCTGTGATGACTCAATACCCCGGTGAAAAGTGGTTGAAGTTGCCCTTTACATTTGCAGAGGGCTGCTGATGGGCTGTAGCTCATTACCACGGCTCATCTGAAACATGGTAAGGTGAGGCACTCTGGTAACTTGACTGTGAGTTTGAACCCTTCCTTTCTGTTTCAAACTTCTACCCCTGAAATCAGTATTGCAGTAAATACCTGCTTGACAGTAGTGTTCTCAAAGGCTGTGGGCAGGGAGATCACAAAAATACTGCAGACAAATGCAAGTTTTTCAGAGGGGTTGCTAAATGTCCAGTGCCTCTTGCACAGTCCATAGTTATTTCTCTTTTCGTATTTCCTCTTAGCCCTCCCTCATGCTCTTCCAACAAGATTCTATGGTGTCACAGATCAGTGTAGGAAATGCTTGCTTAGGAGAGTTCTTTTCCCTAATAAGTATAATACAAAAAGCCTTCAGACATACATGCCAAATATACGTCCATGGACCTAGGGAACACGGCAGAATGGCACCAAAGGCCAAACTTGAACTTTTGCTTGGACACTAGCTTGTACAAACAGTATTACTTAGAAGGTCACACACTAGCTTTCCTTTCTGCTTCCTGTTCCTGCTGTGTGCCCTGTGGCTTGCTTTGATAATCGGAAAGGATTACTCCACAGGCTGACAGCCATGGCCCAGATGACAGAAACAGAGCAAAAAAGGAGAAGGGTCTGGGCACAGCTATTAAAAGAAATAAAAGGGAAAATAATAATTAAAAAAAATCCCTACCACTGCATGCATGAACAGATTTTGCAAGGTGGGACTATTGCAGGAAGAGCTTATTTGAAGTGTATGAGGCCATCTAGCGAGCTCTGGCATTGTAACAGCTCCGCTTTTCCATGGTACTCTTTGTCCTGCTTGTCCCCAACAGGAGACTTCTCACGCCAGCTGCCAACAAGGTGCACACACAGATTCTTCACTGAGTGGTGAACAGAGGAAAATCTCTGCAGGAGGGGAGAGAGTGACAACAGAAAGGGCATGGCTGATGCCAGGGAGCTTGGAGTGCTGGGTTTCTGTGTGCAGTCAGACATCTAGCTACACTGGCAGTGGAAAGGCGATGTGGTGTGCAAGTTTCCACTGAATCCTGTTCTCAGCTACAGGGCTGGCTGGTGATGGGGGAATGCTCAGCCAGAGGGCACTGCAGCAATTCGTGTGGTGAGAAAACCTTGTGAGGAGCAATGAAGTCTAGGCTGCTCAGTATTATGTGGTATTTTTGCTGACAAACACCTGGTGAGAGGTAAGGAAATGGGAAAGTGATGTGTTAATAATTTCAAGATCTCACTTGTATTTTACATGATGCTGGACTGCTAGTCCTGGAAGGGAAACTCCTGCAGTGCAAAGCCTTACACCTACCACGTCCTGTCACCTTCTTTGCTTTGCCTCTGAGTAGACCAGACTGGTTGCCTGTGGATGAACATATAACCAGCCCCACACTGCCCAGTCACTCCTCGGCATCTCCTGTGAGCCTGGCAGGTTATGAAAGCAACAATAAATGTGGGAATTTTGGTAGCTTTTTGCGGTCACTCAAAGAGCCCTTGAACATACCTGAACCTTTGTGTCCAATTCCAAAACCTACAACCAGTGTTACAGTGTTCTGGTACAAACCATGGTTGCTCTGCCAGGGGTACAGTGCTGAAGAACATGAGCACAGGATGATATTTGAGCATTTTAAGTGCTAGCATGTGACTTCTGTCTCCCTAGTGACATTTTCCACTTTCAGCATAGACACAAGTGTTTATAGTAAGTTTGTCCCGTTGCATTAGAGGCACTTCAGAAAACTGAAACAAAAAAAGTTGGAAGATCCTCATCTAGTGAACATTAGTTTGATCTGATTGAATGCTGGGAGCCAGGTGAGCACACAGTCCACCAGTTTATCTACCTTCAGCTAATAAATGCATTCACTTCCTCATCTCTTGGAAAATTATTTGATCTTCTTGGACCAACCTCAAGGGTGAACTCTTCATGTCCACCAGTCTCTGGAACAGCTATAAATCTGGAGCTTCGTAACTGTAATGAGACTGTCCCACATTTTCCTAAATAGTCATTGAAGCCTTGATCTGCAAATGTTAGGACACCAATTTAGTTTTCAGTGTGTAATTATTAGTCCCAGTGAATATGAGGGTGCATATCTGGAAGCATTTGCTATTTCAGTACGTGTCTGTATGTGTCTACAGAGGCTGTAGACAGGAGAAACAAAACATAGTTAGCTTGCATAGCCTTGCAGCCCACTAAATACAGTATCATCAGTGATATCAGGTCCCAAGCTTTATAACAGCTTTGCAAGAACATTAGGACTTGTCAGGCCTCCTCTGTACATGTCCCCTTTGTCTCCTTTCTGCACATGTCTTTGTAATAGTATGGTGTAGCTACCATTTTCTAACAGCAGTGCCAAGCAGTCTTTCTCTGTAGATGGAAATGTGTATTATCCCACTGTAGTGAATCCTGCAGAGGAAGACAGGCTCAGTGCTCAGAAAGATAGATACAGGGTGCTACAAAGAGGAGGATGGAGTGGAATGATGAGACAGGGCACTGGCTGGCCCTGGAAACCCTATGGCTATGAGTGAATTCACAGCGGTAAGATGAGGATCTAGAGCTGAATAAAACTGCTTTAGGAGCAGCAAAGAGAACAAAGAACAAGTATCAAAAGAAGTATTGCCAGCCGTCCAAGGGAGGTGACTGCCCCTCCCTACCTGGAGTACTGCATCCAGCTCTGGGTCCTCCAGCAGAAGAAGGATGTGGACATGCTGGAGCAAGTCCAGAGGAAGGCCACAAAAATGATCAGTGGGATGGAACACTGCTTCTACGAGAAAAAGATGAGAGCTAGAGCTGTTCAGTTTGGAAAAGAGAAGGCTCTGGGGAGACCTTATAACAGCTTTCCAGTTCCTAAAGGAGGGTTATAAGAAGGATGGCCATAAACTTTTTTTTTTTTTTTAAGTAGACAGGGCAAACTAAAAGAGGGTAGATTTAGTCTAGATATAAGGAAGGTTTTTTTACATTGTGGGTAGAGAGAAACTGGAATATGTTTCCAAGAAAATTTGTGGATGCCTCATAATTCTAAGTGTTCAGGCAGGTCAGACAAGGCTCTGAGCAACCCGATCTAAGTTGAAGATGACACTGCTCACTGCAGGGGGTGTTGGACTACCTTTAAAGGTCCCTTCCAACCCAAACTATTCAGTGATTCCATGATTCTATCTAACATATATAATAAATTTATAGCAAATTTGACATGGAATTACAGACCCATGAAGTAAGACTAAGCTACAAATGGTGTCAAAAACTAAATAAAAATTGCTTCAAGTGGACTCCAATTTGAGGAGAAGAAACCGTCAATGTCTATGTCACATTCTCCTTGGCAAACGGAAGAGACCCTCACAATCAACACAATATTTACCCTGATGAAGAGCTTGAGATGGTGATGACTTGCCATATATCTCCCCAGGATGGATCCAAAGGGGTTGTGGAAGAGTAACTCTAAGAAGAGAGAAAGGGGTTGGTACTAGGAAGGTATAACGGCTATAAATATTATTCTGCACACTTTCAATGAAGCACTGTTCCTTTTCCCCTTCCTATAATGTTTTGACTGATACTAAAACCAATTCAGTTGCTAGATTGGTAAGATTCTGATTACCTTAACAATAAATTCCTGGCTTTGTATAAAAAATCTGCTTATTTTTCCTCTTGACAATTAATTGAGTGCAACTACATCACATTGTAGATGGGAGTTGATGGATGCCTATTTGTTTTGGTTTGGGTTTTTTGGGGGGGGAGTTATTTGTTGGTTTTGGGGTGGGGTGTTGGGCTTTTTTTTTTTTTTTTTGATAATTGGATGGACTTTAGGGAGAATATTCAGAAGAGTCTGTTTTCTAGGGCTAATTTTTCTAATTTGAGGACAGAAATCTTTTTATAGATTCTGTGTTGTTTGAGTAATGCTTCCCTGAATTTTTACTTCCAAAATGACCACAATTTTGTAGCAAGGGAAGGTATTTTGAAATAGCAATTTCAAGTGTTAAAATATAGCATTTCTGCATTAGAAAAAGGTCCATTATTTTTCTGTCTATTGAATTCCGCAGATGATTTTGGTGTACCCTTTTTCATATTTATGGAAAACAATGATTTGGCTTGAATTAAAGTTCTCATTTCCTGCTCTTTACACTGTCTTTAATCCAGGAGGCGTATTATATAGATGTTAGACTTTCAGGTATGCCAACTCATAGCAAAAAGGCTACATCACTCTTTAAAATTACATCACGCTGATATTTCAAAAACCTCAGGCAACTGTGAAGCCATGAGACCACAGATTTCTTATGGAGCTTTTCCTCATTTAGAGATTCACTGTTATATCCTTATAATTATGGTAGGATTTGTTACATGAAAGCAACTTTCTTGTATTGCATGTTAACGAACAGAACACATCTTCTGTAACACTGCCAGTCTTTGGATTATTTCAGTGCAGGACGGATGCACTTTGTTTCTGGACTAAAGAGTGGAAACCATGATATAACAGTAGCATTATTTGTATTTTAAAAAATCTAGATTTTTTTTTCTCAAAAATATTTTCTTCCTCCACCACTTTTTCTTTTTTTTTCTCCCAGAAGGTTTTATTGCTTAAGATCTTCGGTGTGATTTGTCAGTTCCTTAAGAAGGAAAACTTCTCTGCATCTTTACAAGTCTGAATAACCACAGTTCCTGAATATAACTGTCTGGGATACTGTTATCATATACATATGATAATAGCACCCAGTGGATGGACACAAATGAGCATAAAAACCTGGTGGCATGTTTTAGGAATACAGACCTTTCTGGCATTGCTACTGTAATTTCAAAGTAATTTATTTTTATTCTAGACAAAGCTGCCTTCTTAATAGTTTTCTTGCTAGTGTTTATTGTAAGATAAATAAATGCAAGACACCTTGCTATCACACCAGCAACAAAGAAGGCATAAAACATGGGGTTTGGGACCTCATACTTGCACTATCAAACAAACAACCTTTAATATGAATCTGTCTAAAGTTTTCTCCTGCAGTCCATGCATACATCAGCTTTTGCCTGGCAAAGAAGAAGATATCTTCCTTTAAAATATGGTAAAAAGAAAAAGCTCATGGTTTCATTTCTTACTGGTTTACATTCACTGAACTTCTTCCCCTTAAGCATTCCCTTGTGGATACTCAGGAAATATGAAAATATAAATGACTTGATTAATAAATGGCATCTTGCCTAATCTTAGCAAGATGTCAGCTGCCACTGTTCTTTGCCAAATTAAAAGAAGACTCCAAGCCTTCAATCTGCTGCACAGGTGAATAGATATGACAAGATCAGTAGAGCCTTCTCTACTATCCAGCTAGTAGGTCATCCTTATGACTTCTGCTAGTTACAAACCTAAAGCAAGCAACACTTCCACTGACTATTGCATCAGGACAACCTCACCTGGAATAACTTCTCACATGATGCCTTTCACTTGGAAAATACAATGAAAATGGAGATTTCTGCATATGTTGTGCTTCAAGTTCTTGCCTACATCTCCTAGGTTTAAAAACAGCTAGACAAATCATACATTGGTATCCTAGGGAAAGGAGGAGGTTATTAATAGCTCTCATCAAAACTAATCACACAGTCCAAAATATGAACCTTCCAGCTGTAAATGTTATAATAGGGAAGAAGATGTTCCAGATGCGGAGTTGGCCTGTGAGCTGGCAATCTTTGCCTTCTGGATCTTAACTCTCCTGTGGTTACAGACATCTAGGAGACAGCCTCTGGGCTGTGGTGAGTCTAGAGCACTGGAAGTGATGCATAGCAGGCAGAAAGCTCATGGTAAGACACAGACATTAGGAAGAAAGTTACAGCAGGGGTGTGAAATCCTAGCCTACTGCAGGGCTGGTGCATTGCTGGGCCATAGTGATTCCCCAAAGATGGAAGGAAATGTTTATTAATGATAATTTTAAAGGGATACAGTAAATAAAACAAATTCCTAGAGGTCAGCCTAAAGGAGCTCTAATATCTGCTCAGCACATTTCAGTGTAATGTGTGTTAAAATCTAGTTCCTAGTCCACCAGACTTTTATCTTGAATATAGTCACACTATTTTTAAAGGAGGAAATAACCTGGTGTGATTCTTGAGAGCTTTTAGGAAGCACCTTAATACAGTTGATTTTATTTGTGGACTATTCATGTTATCTTGGTTCATCAAAAACATCTTTGATTAAGGAATATGTTTAAAATACATTAAAACCTGGCATAAACCTGTGCTGAAACTCTCACCTGACCTATGGCTATTTGCAGCACACAGTGCTGGTGTGGTCTTTGCCTGCAGACCGGCAGTGGGCTATGTCAGCAGGGCACTCCACTCTCCCTCAGGGATGGAGCAGTAGTGTTTTTCAGTGAGTCTGGATGCTCTGTGCATCACTGCAGCCTGTTCCCATGCCCCACTGACCTGTAGCTGACCTGTGTGTCTCACACTCAAAAATAGATGCAATCTACAGCCTCCTTCTACTTTTAGCTGAGGAAGTGAGGGACATAAAAGTACTTTTCTGTGGTAAGACCTAGCCTTCCCAGGGATGACTCCTAATGGTCGCAAACAGCTGCCTGCTCTCTGGGGTGGGATTCTGACATTATTTCATGAAAACTGGGTTATATAAGCCTCAGTACTTCAGTTAACTGTTTCTATTTTGGATGCTCTAGTCAGGATCTAGTCTCCAGTACTAAAAAAAAAGTAAAAAAATCATGCAAACCCCATGTGCTTTGACATTATGATTACATTTGCATTGGGAAGCAGATATGGGGTCAGGGTGCTGCTGGCCCTTCCCATGTCCTCAGAAGGGGTTGTAGTGAGAAAAACCTGTATTCCATAGAGGAAATGCTCGAGGATTTTGCTATTCTCAAATTAAAGTTGAGGGCAGTGGAGGGTGACATGTTTATACAGAAAACCACCATGCAGAAATAAAGACAGGTAAGGGGGTGTCAGGCAGTTATACTCTTAGGAAAGGTGACATGATAGCATTTAGGATAGGAGCCTCTAGACAAGACAAGCACTATCCCTTCACAGTAAATATCCATTGCCATTCTTGGTTTGCCTGTTGGCACGCAGAGAGAATCACAGAATCACAGAGCAGCCTGAGTTGGAGGGGACCCACAAGGATCATTGAGTCTGACCTCTAGCCCTGCACTGTGAGTACACAGCTTTGTAAAGCAGCATCTCTTCTTTCCATCTTGGGGCACCACACATTCTCACACTGCTCCTCCTCATGCTTAACATGAAACATGGCAGCAGAGCTATTCTATGTATAGAAACTGCTTTTGAGGCAGGACAGAACATGGAGTAGAAGTCACTACTGAAGACCAATCCGATGAAGATGACTTCCCTGTAGGGAGGAAGCCTTGTGATGCCTGAGTGGCTGCTGAGTGGTTCTGTGTCAGCTGTGCTGTTGGAGGCCACAGTGCTATCACAGAACAAATGCAGGAATGCCAAATACATATTTGGGAACTGGAAGGCAGCCTAGTGAGGGGATGAATAAGGGGAAGAAGGAAAGAGGTCTTTCTCCACATCTCCACGCTGCAAAATGGGATCAATCACAGCTACGCTATTGCTAAAAGGAGAGGGAACAGACCAGTAAGAAGCACCATGGTCCCTGGCCACAGTGACCAGCAAGAGCAGGCAGAGGGTTGGATTCCCCTTCTGGCTTCAGTATTGACCCCTCCTAGGTCCCTTTCCACGAGGTGCCTGTCCTATCTGTGCCAATGGCAAAGGCACTGGGACAGGACTGCCTGGTGCTGCACGTGCACAGCACTGAGCACCCCAGCATTGGTACCAGCAGGGAGCCATGGAATGGCTGTTGTGAGAGCTGCAAAGCAGGAGGAAGGGCAGAAACCACAACTTGCCTGTGACAAGATTAGTGATATCTTAAAGGTTAGGAAAGTAGCTTAATAAATTCCCTGTTGCCTTGGACGTTGAACATGCTGTATCAATAGCAGAGATTGTAAAATGCTTTTGGCAATTCTTAACAGTAATCTGGAAGATAATGAAGGTAAGAGACATAACAAACTAACAAAGGGAAGTACAATACTCGTAAGAGTATGTATGAAGCAACTGCTGTGACAGAAAATATGTATGTTGGATTCTCCCTGCTAATACAATGTGATAAGTAGCTGCTGAACAATTATGCAGTGTTCATATGCAGCATTAAGCAGTTGTTTGGTTTCAAACAACTTGGAAATGGCTCTATATTTCCCTGTCCATAGATTGTTTTCTGTCACTGCTTAGAAGTAGATACCATTTTGAGATTTTTGGGGTTAAAGGACACTGGAAAATGATGGCATATGGTTGGTGATTTCCCTGAGAAGTATTACTTCTTTAAAAAACATTGACTCCGTTAAATATAAAGTGCTCATGGGAATGTATCCATATCTTGATAATCTGAGAGGAGATTATCTCAATATTTTGTTTCTATGAAGCACAAACATTTGCTTTTTGCATTACCT